CCGTTGGTGGTGGATTATTAAGCTTTAACTTCAGAGCGAGATCACTAAATACAGAACCCCTTTTTGTTCGATCAGCTTCAGAATTACATTACGATCTTGACGACAACCTATATTAACCTCTTTATTTTTATCAACTAGAAAAACAAGTTTTACGTTGTCACAATATGATACGTTAACTAGGAGAACCACTTGCATTTTCTCCCTTGGGCACGGGGTTTAATTATCCCTATTCTTTTTTCCGCGTCGACTGTCCCAGGAGAAGTTTGGCGGCGAATGACTCAATGAGCCGATCGGCGACTCAACAATTACCAATGAACAACCTCTTTGACATCTATGGTTACTAGGTACCCAGGTAAGTGAAGATGTCTCTGATTTTCAGCTGAAGTTGAGATGATGTTTTTGTCATCTACCAATCTTCTGTGAGCAGCGAGAGTCACTCTATTATATGACACCAGCTGCATGTGATTTTGCCAACAATGTCTCACTTTTATGGTGATGCACCACTGTAGGTAAATGGGTGACGATGATATTATTTCACAATCATGTGGTAGATACGGAGTAATTCTGTCGTTTTTCCTTAAAAGCCTCTTTATATGTTTACATGGTCATTCACTTTTCCATCAAGTCTGACTGAAAAGTGTATGCGCCCGTTGAGGGTAAAGATCCTCTTTGGTAGTTAACTAGTTACCTAGGACGGCCCAATAATCATGTACGAAATGTAATAGAGACAATGACCTTGGGCATTTATTCACCCCTAGAGGTATGATCGGGCACACGGTCATATGATATCACCCTGAAGGGCAAATCGTAAGCTTTAAGTTCGACCTCATATTTTCAATTCCGGCATTTGCTCCAGCTGTTTTACGGGTGCTGATATCGGTTATTCTGTGCAAAAGGATTTGCCAGGAGGTCAGCAGAGCAAATTACTATATTTTATAATAGTCGTCCCGTTATTGGAACCCTTTTTCTCTCGCCGAAAGGCTATTGGTTACTTGCTATGTCATCTTCTCAAACCAATCCGATCCTCGGAAAATGTGGGGGTAAAGGTTTTTCTCATTAATAAAGCAGCAGAATGCTAGAAATAGTTCAAGATCTTGGTTCGCCCAAGGCTTAACCTCCAGAGTACTGAACACTAGAATTGATACATATTGGGCGGCAAGTTGATCTCGGGAAAAAATTGAAGATTTCAACCACATATATCGGAATGTGTCAAAAAGCAACGTTTCTCCTATATTGACGAGGATAATGACTTTTCAAGGGACGACAAGAAGTACCTACAGCTGAACTAGAGTTGCCAGCCATGATTCGGAAAATGAGCAGAAATAGTCGGGCTGAGAGGTAAAGCAGCGACAGCGCTAATCTCATTCTGTATTCCAGAAGGAGATCGAGCGGATCCGAACCGCTATGCATTATCATTTTCTTCGCTTTTAATGAAAACCACACCCATATCTCCAACGATGAACAGGAGGTCAGTGCCCAGGCGCAAACGCATCGTGATGCAGGCCGGCAGGTCATCCGTTCTGTGCTCGGTGCGGCACGTCTAACTACCTAAAACCCCCAGATGTTAAGAAATAAGTGTGGGGTTGGCGGCGAGAATGCCACTACTTTGGTGTGTCCATCCCTCCTGCACGGACTGCAGGATATAGTCATAGTGCATGATGTCGCTCCGAGATCAGGGGAAAGTTGACATACGGCATTCTCTGTGTTGATATCGCTATAGGGATGCTATCGTGGGCTCCTTGTCAGAATTCCTGTGCGGCGTGAAATTTTCCGATGGGCCATGACTGGGTTTTCTTGCTTCGACGAACTATGATCAGGAGTTCTACCTCAACGTATACCTTAGCCACTATCTAACTCAATACTCTGCTACTTCGACCGTCCGCGAGGGTCCAGGTTAGATACTTCATATAGATTATCTCTAATTCCAACCTACCATCCCTGCATTCATTTTCCGGAGATAGGCTTCCTAGCTGCTGAAGTTAGGAAGAAATACTCAGCTGGGGAGTTAGTAGCTGCTTTGCTACACTCCATTTTAACCTCAATCAGGATGGTGAAAGAGATGCGGCATGTTCTCTTGGTGCCAGTAGATTGACACAGGTGAGTTGTCCTTCTCCATCATCTGGATCCTCACCAGCATTACTTTGGATTGATTTGAACCATGGTGGAAACGGGAAGAGACTGACTGGTTTAATTACTTACTGGTTGGTATTGTTGGATTCCCATCATAAGCATGGGTTGGCAAAAGGTTAGAACTAAATGATACTTCCCGTATGGTAACTAACTATCTGTAATCAATGAGTATATAAAGTGTGTTTGAAGTATTTTCAAGGCTGATTATGCGAAAGCAAAGTGGATTAACAAACAGCTAAAAGCTACGTGAGACAAAACTTTCATATCGTGTGTTGGTTAAGACTCCCAAGGTCTCTCCCTCTATGGCCTTCATCAATGTCTTTCTTTGTTTGTCTGTTCCCCCCACCGAGTTCTTCTCTGTGGCGTGGTGTTTCCGATTAAGTTGTGCCACTGATTCATTTCATTATGATTTTGTCTTTCCTGGGACATCAATAACAATAAACTGCGACCTGAATGGATGCGAAGGCAAAGACAGCTGTGGAGCCTTTCTCAAGAAATACTACATATCCGTAACTCTTAAAACTTTAGTACATACGCAGTAGGTACGTAGTGATTTATTTACAGACTGCAGTCGTACAGAATTTACCACTTTTAGCTGAACAGCCACCAAGGCGGAACTGTGTATAAATGCACCGTTAGTGAAGTGAAAGAGGAGTGAAGAGCCTACTAGAGTCCAGCTGAGTCCTTCTAGGTAGGTACACACTATTCTGCTTGGTAGCCTTGCATTCGGGTATGTAGATTCTAAGGAATCAATAGGAAGAGAAATTAAAGGGATTTCTTTCTATTTTGGTTGCTATCTATCTAATTTCAGCCAACAGATATTGGAATACCTAGGTAGGTTCTAAATGGACAGTTGAAGCGTTCTGGTTTGTTTGTTTGTTTCATGTATAAACTTTGCTGGGCGAACGGGCGTGGGGAAAAGGGCATATCCGTGGCCCCGTTATCTGAACCCGGGGGCCATGCAGGCCGCAGAGAAGATTCTGAGGTTTAAACAAAACCACCCAGCTATTTCTGAGCTACCATGTTCTGGGGTGTTGATGATGGAGCTGAAAACGGCAGACCTGGGATAAAATCATGCTTCCGGAATTCTTGTTGGCTAAACTCAGATTAGAGTTCAAGTGGCGCTCGTAGGGCGGAGATATTCTCGATCGATCGATTGGAAGGTGCTATGTCAGAATCATCAAATTTCATAAATGAGATGGGCCTTCAGGTGTTTGCAAGATCTCTGACGATTATTTACTTTCGTGCAGGGAGACCAACAAAATGTCCAAGGCGTGAGGTTGAACGTGGTTATTTTCAAAATCTCGGCCAGAAAAACCTTCAGCGTAAGACCATGACACCCATCATTAAAACTACATGCATTAGTCATATCTCACTCATATATCTCTCACATCTCTATATGCTCTTGATGGTAGTAATGGTAGTAATGGTAGTAGCGATTTTATCACATTTCTCGGGTCCTTACCCTTGACTAACTCTAATCCTAACCCATAATCTACCCTAACCCTAGTGTTGAGGGCGGAGGTTGAAGAGAGATGTATGAGTAATATGTGAGGTGTATGCGCAGAGCAATGTAGACCGTGTTCCTAGTTGATCGTGCTTAACTTATGGAGCGCTTTTAGAACAACGATCCACTGTAACCCTAAAGTGTTCGTGTGGACGTGTGTGTATGGACGGTGTGATGAGCGTGGAGAAGAAGCAGGGTCAATCCTGAACTTGTTCCACAGGTTGACATTTGCACGGACCATGTCCATGACGATTTATACAAAACGAAGGAAGGCGTGGAAAAACGGAAGTTTATATCTGGCCCTTGGGTGCAAGGGCCGAGCTGCGAACCATCGCTTTTTCTGCTAGGTTTTTAACCAAACTTTCCCAGGATTCCAGTTGGAGGAGGGGGGGTAAAGATGGTGAACGGTTCTGATGCTGACTTGATGTGTGGTTCCCCCCTATTTTCAATTCCATTTTTAATATAAAGGCATAGGCGTTCAAGAGAATACTATTCATGATAGCAGTTGGAGGGTTGCGATTGGGCCCAGACATGTGCAGAATTATGCTCACAATGGCTCACATGTCACGGCGAGATCTTAGTCAATTGGTCAATGTCTGGCGAACAAAAGCAAAGAGCTGAGATGCAAATGGCGTGGGGAAAGGGCGCCAAGCCTTTATCTTCTCTCTTCTTCTTCTTCTTCTTTTTTTTTTTACCCCCAATCTTTTATTTCTTGGTAGAGATGCTTCATTCTTGGAGACCAGTTGAGACATCAGCATGTTGACAAATGCATTATTTTTGCTGCTTATTTAGCCAGAAGTGGCATCCAGGAACACTAGGAAGCAGGAAATTCGAACGAAATTTGAAATGGTTGTAAGCTATACAAGTGAGTAATATGGATACATACCTAGAAGTTGACTGTATTGTATATTTATTTGTCTAAGTGACTATAGAAAGGATACACGGAGTAAATATAGTGATGAAGGACTGCAACAACACCAGGACCAGCTGCAGTAGTAAACTAGCTTTAGTTATACATACATAACTTCGCCGAACGCCGTTGCAAGCCCACAGCCCGCAGAGGATTGAAAATGGGATCTTGTGTTATTCGCCTGTAATCATTGATCAAACCATGGCCGGGTTTTTACATGTATTCCGACGCCGGAAATAAGAAACTACCAGAACTTCAACAATAATAATAACAACTAAAAATAATAGCAATGTTTGGTATTGAAGGTCATTAAGGTTCTCGCCAAATACCCCGGACTGGCCCATGGTTTTCTGTGGAGTTCTGACCCGTGTTGTTGCATCGAAAGGGAGGATACGGGAGGGTACTTCAAAATGCTATTTATTTGATGAGATAAAGAGGTATGATATAAGTACCTCAAGTATCTGACCGTATCGTACCGTACCGTACCATACTTCCGTACAAGCGATAACGTTTGTTCCTCCCAAAATTGCAGACGATTGTACCCTGCAACTCCAGACGCGGTTTAGCGCCACATTTCCTTTCAGGGACAGTAGTTTCCAGTGAGTTCTCTGCAGGTAAAGACTTGGTAATAGGCGCAGTATTGCCTGACAATGCCTGGTATAGCCCAACGTCCAACCCTCCGTATTAGTATAGGTATGTACAGTACGGTACCAGTGTTGTAATAAACATCAAGTCAATTTGAAGCGATCAGCCTCCAAACTCCAAAACGCCAATTCCTTTAACCTCAACCTCCCGTCCTTCCTCCATCCTCGACTCTCCCCGTCCTTCTTCTCCCTTCCCATCTCTCGAACCTCCCTCTACCTCTCTTCTTTCTCTCATCCCTTGAACACGTCTTCCTGCTACCCCTCTTTTGTCCGTTAGTCTTCGTGATCTCCTGTTCTCCTGTGGTCAGTTCTTCCGCTGTCTTGGCTGGCGCCATCGTCTGTGTCTCTCCCATCCGTGGACGCAACCCTGCTGAATAGCCCCATTTCACACAACTTGCAGACGGGAAAGCCTGCGCAGCTACTCTGTTCGCAGTACAACTGAGGATATTGGTGGAAGAGCTTTGATTAGATCCTCTGCCGCTTAGTCTTCTGTTTAACCCGGTTTTCTCGCGGACCCCCGACCTCCATCTCCCGAAACTCATATTAGGGGCTACAATTCTATTCCGCTGTCGACCAACCTGGGTATTGAGCCGGTTGATTTTGAACGGAAGGTTACAGTTGACACTGGCTGCAGTCTCTTGCAAGACGCTCGTTAATTTTCTATTTTCGATATCAGGGTGTTTGTCCTGTGGTTATTCCGCCATATCATTCCCATTCCGGTTTCGAAACCAGCCTTCTACTACGCTCCAGGAATTATATCCGTCATATTTGATTCTGATATTGCTGCAAAACATATCCTCTCGTCCACCTCCCTCAGCTGCCTCCCTCAGCCGCTTGTCTGAGACTCGTGTTCGTGCAGATCGTGCAAGGATCCGACAAACTCTTTCGTTTCTGCTCTAGACTTCCTTGACGTGTCCCGCTCCTGATATATTACCGGAGAAGCGACCAGCATTGCTTGGGAGTGCCGGGGACCCATATGAAATCAAGTACCCATGGGAATGCCGTATCATCACATATTACGGGTGACGTCTCACCGATAGCGCTTAAACCGTTCTCCGAAATGGCGTGGGCCATCCCCGCCGACCTCCCACAACACATTACTCTACCACCCACCTTTAATTCTCAACACTCAAGCTCGTTACCTTCTACCCCTTATCAACATCTACGAGACCTCCAGTTTACTTCGAGATCGCCATCTCCAACCCGGGGAAACAGTTCTCCCCGATCTACCCACTCAGAATCCACCCACCTACTCCCATCGTCACGACGACCTCATGGAGGTTGTAAATATGAAACCGGAATGGCCCATTTCCGGCGGCGGATACCCTATTCGCTGGGAAGTGAATTGTTGCCCAAGGAGACGGGGCCGTTAAAAAATCAACTGGATCCCGCTGACGAGAAGAAACTCAGTGGTGATATGAGAGAGCTCTACGACAGGCTGCTGCCCTCTGAGGAAAGTGAACAACGGCGGTTGAAGTTTGTTAACAAGTTGGAAAAATTACTGAACAAGCAGTGGCCGGGTAACAATATCCGTGTTCACGTGTTTGGGTCTTCTGGGAACAAACTCTGTTCCAGTGATTCTGATGGTAAGCATCCACAAGGAAGAATATATGATTGGTAGACGGAACTAATATTTTCTACTATCCTAGTTGACATTTGCATTACTACCACGTACAAGGAGTTGGAGAAGGTTTGCATGTTGGCAGACTTTCTGGCGAAAAGTATGGATTGATTATCTGACCAGGTCCCTAGTAAAAGCCCAACTGACTTTTATATAGGCGGTATGGAACGTGTTGTTTGTGTTTCCCATGCCAGAGTTCCGATAGTGAAAATATGGGATCCCGAATTACTGCTGGCCTGCGATATGAATGTCAACAACACCATGGCACTAGAAAACACCCGAATGATCAGGACCTATGTCGATATTGATGAACGGGTGCGGCCTTTGGCCATGATTTTGAAATACTGGACTAAACGGCGAATACTCAATGATGCTGGTAGGTCTTGCTTATGCTCACTCCTGCTTCCTCTATACCAACGGCTTAATGTTTATTCACCTCCTGTGCAGCCCTCGGCGGAACCCTAAGCTCCTATACGTGGATTTGCTTGATTATCAGTTTCCTCCAAACAAGAAATCCCCCAGTCTTACCCAGTCTCCAAAAACGGTGCTCCAAACAACAAAAAAATGCGGGTGATTCTGAGTCATCGTTCGATGATGACTTGGAAAAACTAGTTGGCTTCGGGCGAGATAACAAATCTTCTTTGGGCGAACTCTTGTTTCAATTCTTTCGTTACTACGGTTATGAAGTTGACTACGAAGCGAAAGTTATGTCAGTGCGAGAGGGTTCTTTGATATCGAAAGAAGGCAAAGGCTGGCACCTTCTTCAAAATAATCGACTTTGTGTTGAGGAGCCATTCAATACATCGCGAAATCTTGGGAACACTGCAGATGATACTTCTTTTCGTGGATTGCATATGGAACTACGGAGAGCGTTTAACGCAGTGTCCGAAGGAAACTTTGAGGAGTGCTGCGAGCAGTATGAGTATCCCCCCGAAGAAGAACGCAATTGGGAGAGGCCACCACCTCAACCTCGACCTATCCTTGCACCTAATCCCTCCATCTCTTCAAGAGGCGGAAGGGGTGGGGGTAGAGGCGGTCGTCATAATAATCACTATAACCGAGTACCAAATACAGGCCGCCGATCTTCTAGTAGTGCGAACCGCCCGAACATTCAACATACAAACCCGTCGTTCGCAGCGGATATTGCTCTCCAAGCACAGCAGGCACAGCAGGCACAGCAGGCACAATATCTTTTACACGACCATCTCTATCAACAAATACAGATTCTGCAGGCCCAGGAGCAGGAGTTGCGAATGCAGCTACAAAACCAAGCACTCATTAGTGGCAGGGCCCCTCCCACACTGATGCGACAGCCGTACTTGCAATTCCCGTTTCAACATCAAGAGGCTGTTGGTCAAGATGAAAATTCACGAGCTCGAGCGGGGACGGTAAATCATCCTCCATTAACAGCACCCGTTCGACAACAAGTTTTCTTCAATCCTTCTTTCATTCCATTATCCATTTCCACAATACAAGACGCCAATGCAAATCCTCCTTCCCCATTGATGGTTCCTACCGCTCCCGAAACTCGTCGCAGTCATCGAAGATCATCTATTGCGAGTGGGTCCCCTCGTGGCCCAATGCGGGCACAATCACAACCAGCGCGACCTCTGCCATCGCCTATTTTACAGAACTTTGGTAATGCTCATCATTCCGTCCCGTTAGGCGAGGCTCCCCATACCCCCAGCCCAAGACTGCAACCCTCTTCCCCAAAGAGGTCAGATGCCGAAGTTGATGCTCTGGTCACCAATGGCATTCCTATATTTTCAAGATCCTATGTTGAGGAAAGACGCCCCTCAGAGTATGTGGGTTATTATCTAGGAGATTCTCCTCAGATCCAGACAATCCATCACCCCTCAATGGGTTCGCCGCTATCTGTCATGAATGGATTGGCCATCCAAAGTAGCTCTTTGTTTTCAAACCTTCGCAATCCAACGGATTACCGTCACAACGCGGTGGTTTTCACGGAGCAAGCAAGTCCTCCATTAGAACACGATCATCTACCCGATCACAACCCGCTGTCAACACATGGGCAATCTCAACCCAAGACACATAAAGACGGAGGTCCACTTATAGTGGATGGCTCCATTTCAATCAATGAACGCCATTACTCAATGCCTGTAGATAACGCAGACCAATTTTGCCCCATGAGTCTCAGTACCTCCGCATCCGAGGATCGACCATTTGATACTCCTGGTAGTACATCAGATACCCTGTCACAGGGGCTGCCAGACCATATTCTGTATGACGAGGAATACGAGAAAACGTACGGGCGTGGTCGGCAAGATACCCAACATCATGCACATATCAATGGGTGGGATTCTGTTGGAGCCAATGGTGTTACCTTGAATGGCCACAGTGGAAGATTAGAAACATTATCGGAAAGGCTGCAAAGATTTCAAATGTCCGACATGAGTCGTTCAGCAGAGTCTCATGGGAAGTTAAATATGAATCAGGTCAAAGGGGGAAAGTCATACCCGTGCACTGCAGAGAATGGCATGGTTGAGAAGGAACACCATGTTGCACATGATAACTACGTCCCATTGTCTACTTCTGCACCTGCGCTCTCACCCGTCAAGGAATCTCGAACCTCCCCGGCCACTTCGAAACGACGCCTAAATGGTTTGGATCCTGAGAAAGCTAACGGGACGAGTCATAAAAATAGGCCAAATGGACGACATGAACGTAGCACAACTCCCCAGCAGACGGACAACAATAATAGAGAGAAGCAAACAGATACCCAGCGTCGAAAACTAAACGGTCACCCGGCTTCTAATGGAGCTGGTGGAAACGAGCATCACTGCGGATCAACTCCGACTGGTTGGCAGATTACGACGAAGAAGAAAACTAAAAGAAGCAATAAGGCCCCCACTGAGCCAAACCACAACAATCTCGTCAAGGGCGTCGAGCCTCTTCCGGCTGATGAATCGTTGAGGAAAGGAGGTTGATAAATAAAAGCGAATAAGAATGTCCATGGATTGCGAGCATTGAAATGTTCACGCGAATGTTATGTGTTGTTTTCTGCTCTTCATTCTTATCGTCACTATCGGGGGTCCCTTTTATGACTTCTTTTTTACTTTTTCATAAGAATATCTGGCTCAGCAAATTTGAGTGCAAATATTTTGTCAATGTCTTCTTGACTTGCCTCTACTTGCTTGCTGATTGAAAGCTTGTTGGCCTGAGTGTGGTGTGCTATATATGCAGCGTTTTAAAACATGGCTGAATAAGCTCTTACATTAACGAAAGATCCCATCCCATCCCATCGAATTTATCAACCTACTCCAAGCCCTTGCTTCGAGACTCAATTCGCCTTTATATGAAGAAAATTGTCGGCTTTTCTTTCATAATTCCTTGATATTATAAATCGCGTTATACTATCAAGACAACTCCCAAAATTCAGGATGCGATGTCAGCTTTTCAAGGATTTTTTTAGACGACTGAGAGCTGGCCGCCCAATTTCACGTGGAGAAGTTTATGTGTAAACGCAAACAAAAAAAGAAAAGAAAAAACCCTCTCAATGTGTTGGTTATTCCATCCCCTCCCTGTCGTGTTACTGGAGCTAGACAGTCAGGGCGTCGGGGATCTTCTAGAAGGAAGGGCAAAAAGTGAGCGGAGCTCACGAAACTGGCAAAAGAAAGAGAAGGCAGCAAGAAACGAAAGATTATCTCTGGCGGAAATTCTCTCGGGGTTTTCCTTGTTTGTTTGGCCCTTTTTTTTTAACACTGGCTCCTATGTTTTGATTGCTTGTTTGCACAATCATGAAAATGTCTGCGCGTGTTTGATCGAAATCTCCTTTTGGCATGTTTTTTATGGTTTTGTGCCCCCTTTTTTTCTCTTCTGAGTTTGCAAAGAGCCAAAAAGAAACCTAAATAAATGTTCTCTGTTTTTTGTCGTACTCAATGGTGGCGTCTTTTCATTTCATTTTTTTGAAAGAAAATTTTTGATGCTTTGTTATTTAACACGCCGTGGTTTTCTCCCCTTAAAACCTTTCCCCTTGTACTGCTGCTTGTTTTCTTGTTTCCTACATAGGTTTAGGTCGGATTTTGCTCCTTTTTCATGTCCTTTTTCTCTTTGGTACGTACATTATTCATACTCAAACTGGTGTACTCTTTCGTCTAAGCACGTTACTTACCTTACTTACATTACACGTTAGCCATTATGATTGTTAAACTATTCTATTCTTGTCCTCGTGTATGTTGCTTGGTCTAAGTAAGCTCAGCCGTTTATGCGGGTGGGTGGATGGATGGATGGATGGATGGGCGTTTAAACGTGTGTTGTATCTGATGTGTTGTCCTTTTCGCCATGGATTGATTGTTATTGCCGTTAGGATAATCGGTCGACGTCAAAATTTTGCTTATTTGCTTAACGAATATTTGTATTTCTCTAACTCAGATTTCTTATCTAGCTTCGTACCACATATATGCTACATAGGATATCCATAAGTTGCTCTTAAGTTTTACTCACCTTCATTTGCCGCTTGTTTGCTTTATCTCTTAGCTTTTCTCCGTCTCCTTTATATTGCCACTTCTTGTTAAGCTTGTTGAGAGAAGAGTAAACATTGTATCCATTTTATTTAGCATTCCATCCGCTTCAATCTGCAGAGAAATCGCTTCTCTGTATGATGGCTCTGGATACAAAATTGAAGTTGGCATCAGTATATTCCCCTCATCGATCGAGACTGATATCTCCCCCATACATCACAATTGAAAAAAGAGGCCTTGAAACTCTAATTCCTACATCGTTCTCCACCACCATTGTCTCACGGCAATCTGGAGTCTGGTATTATATGCTGATCGGGAGAAGAAATCCTGCGTAGGTTAAAGTTTTAATCCTCAATTTAAAGAGTATTGTGTGCATACGCCATAGAACGAACCGGTAACTTGGCCACGGGGCTTGCGGGGTAATGAACGCGGTTTACATGTTGTTAGTATCTAAACTACTATTCCACCTCAAGTAACCCCGACTCTGCGCTTCGGTTGCACCGTGGGCTGCGGTTTCTGAGTTAACGCTAGTTTGGAGAGAACGTTATATGAATTGTTACAAGTATCTTGCAGCTGGAGCAAATTAAACGATAAGTCTATATTATCCATGGGAAGGTGTGGATAGTCAGGTTGAAGAGTGCCAAGGGGGAAATGATTAGAAATAGGAGAGAAGAAGAAGAAGAGAAGAAATGTGAGAAGGGGAGTTGTATTGGGGTTAGATGAAGGGGCAACAAAAAGCAAGCGTCGGAAAGAATTAGGGAATCAATATACACAATGCGCTTGTTCGCTGCGGCATTCCTTTTCTTGAAGGAGATGAGATTTGCTCCGTCCAGCCATTATTGGCGAGATGACAATAAATGGGTTAGAATAATAATAAAATATTGAGAACGTTAGTGGAAGAGGAAGCTATACAAAAGGAAAACGAGCCGGACAAGAAACAAAACAATACATCTTGAAATAGAAAATATCACAGTGAAATAGGCCATTAATAGAATATAAGGAATTAAAAAAGAAACCTCAGGAAAATAAATCGGTGGCTGGAAATCCCGATTCCATTCCACTGCTAATGGCGGGTGTGAAAAAGGGGTTGGGTAGTTTGAGTGTAGGAAAAACAACGTAATTCGCGCATACGAACCATCTAAACCAACAACATCAATGTACAGCTTCGAGAATGTAACCAAACACACAGACAGATGGAACAACATGATGAACAAACACATGTTTCCGTCGTAGGTGGATGATATTCCTTCTTGTACACGAATAGGGGAGTAGGGGAAGCGAGTATGATTTATCTCTCGCAGCATTTCTAACTTTCTTTAACTTCTGCTTTAATATCTAATTTCAGCGAATATAAAAGGGAAGATGACCCGACAAGCAGTCCAGAAAATGATAAAGCACTGAAAAAATGTTATGGGAAACATGTAGAGGGGTTGGCTGCGCACAAACTCCCATATTGAGAGGAAGGCAACTGAGTAGAAATGTTTGATGAGGATCCACGGGCGCGGGTTGACCCCCGCGAGGAGGCTGATGGGTCCGTCAACCAGGCCCAGCTGGAAATAGCGGAAGCAACCTCTTTGGAGGACTTCAAGGTAGGGGTCTACAAGGCAGGATAAATCATTAGTATGGAGGAGACCTGAAAAGAGGCTGGAGGCCAGTAAAATACAGGAACATACCATCGGCAGCAAAGAGAGAATATAACGCTTGCGCTAGGATATTAATGACAGTCGTTAACCCTTTTCTTTCCCAGTGGAACTTAGACATTTGTTTAAGAACCTGTCGTTTGTTTGATAAGCTGGGGACGTTCTCGGGGCTAAGGAGGTTACAGAGAGTGACCACGTCGTTAAAGGCAACTGTCATGCCACCTCCAGTCAATGGGTGTCGCATATTCAGTGAATCGCCAATAAATACTAGACCAGGAGTCTTGTTCGTGGTGGGGGGGAGGAAGGAATTGGGCATAGATCGCAGGGGGCCTTTGTCAAGGGCCTTCGCAAAAGCAGGTTGTATGCATTCGGGGAGGGATGGGAGGACGTTATTTCGTAAATGACCCTTGACACCACCGTTCTGCAGCGACGCAGATGGTAGATTTTCGGGGATATCAACCAATATTCTGGTCTCGTGCGTACCGATCTGATACATAAGGATGGGGGGGCCGTCAGGTAGTACGACATGGCCAAAATTTTTCCGAGGAAGTTCTGCGTCAATCAGCTCCAGACCCCAGAATTTTGACTTCACTTTCGGTGTTGTGGTCAGATATTGCTTGCGGAATTTGGAAGCGTATCCGTCCACAATGAAGATGAGGGAAGCGAAGAAGTAGTCCTTCTGCCCATCCGTAATGCAGTGTACACCAAGCGCCTCATCATCTGTTGACGAGTGGATCACAGAGACAGCCGTAGTCTCAAAAATGGTGACGTTAGGTGTCTTCCTGGCCGCATCACGGAGGCGCATGATAAAGCGACCATGATGAAAAGAGCGACCGGTAAACGGAACCCCGTGTTCATCCTTCGGATAAGGGATAGGAACTTCGTCCCCGTGATATATCACGTCCATGCCCTTGCACTCAATCGCATCGATATCGTCCAGACAGTGCTTCAGCCCCAGCTTCTCCAAAGCCCTCACTCCTCCCGGTTGTAATAGCTCGCCTACGATACGGTCTGGTTCCTTCAACGACCTCTCTAGGAGGACCACGCTGCGCCCTTGTTTCCCCAATGCGACGGCCAGAGCACAGCCAGCAACTCCAGCACCCACTATCGCAACGTCAGCTTCGTGGTGTTCACATCGCCGCCGCTCGTTCTCGTCGGAGTACACTCTAGGGGTTTTGGTGATGCCATTAGCGGTCATTATGTTGAGACGTCCCGGGAGAAATAGGGGAAAAGGGAAAGATATCAGCTGCGTATAGGAATGAAGATATGTAGTTGCATAATTTCTAGAGGAAATATAGGGACTGGAGGGACGAATTAGCGAGAGAAGGGTAAGAGTTGAAGCCTTCCCAGCTGCCAGTATAATTTTTGTTAGGAGTAATTTTTGCGCCGTGATGCTGGCGGACAAGGGACCAATAAAAACGTGATGGACAGGAGGTGGCGTGACCTGGAACCTAGAAGCATGTGATTGTTTCGGTTCATAGTTGTTCCGAGACAGCTTCTTTTCCCAACCATGCGTTTGGTGTCATTGCAACCTTAAAGCTTAATTATCCAGGGGTAAAGAATCTAGTCTCATAGCCTTAATGCTAAGAAGTATCGAGAAACACGGGCTTATGTTTTGAGGAGCGCAACGATACCATCTATATATTGGCTTTCAACTATGGTCTGAAGATTTCAAAAAAATAAAAATGAAGGACTTGTGATTGAGGAGGGACCGGAATTATACTATTCATAATACTTAGGTATTATCCAATAAAGCCGCATTGAGAAGAGAAAGATAAGATCCATCGAGAATGATGCCAAGAAACCCATCCATTCATGAGCTCCTAGCAAAACGATAAATTGCGTTTAGAGAAACGGATAATGTACTCCGTACAATAAATACAATTAACATATGTACAAACGAAATGGATGATTAAGTCCATGATTCGGAGATAAGGAAAAATAAACGTAATCTGGGAGACTGGTCCCAACGCCCGCGAAGTTTATTAGACATAAACAGCCAAAAGAAATATATCATATCTGAACGGGTTCCTCCAGTGGTATCTCCTCCACGGAGTCCTCCAATCCCTCTGCCCACACACTACTTTCACTCCAATCCTGATCCTCCGTATCATCAGGCAAAAAACATTTCTCCAACTCGGCCCTCTCCTTCCAGTGCTTGACGATGTAATCAGTGTGCTGAAAATCCTCAAATTTATGCCCATTCAGCTGCGGCCCCTTCTTCAAGGAATTGTTGCTAGCATCAGCCATCCAGCTCTTGCTCTTCAACATTTCAATAGCTTCAGTAAATGGAATGAAGCGGGCCGGTCCGAACTTTCTGGCTTTGACCTTTTGTCGTAGGAGACGTGACAACTTTGCAATATGGTCTATCTCCTTCTCGAAACTCTCTCGTGTGTGATTTGGTGGAAGTGGAATATGGAGGCAGCTTCTGGATCTAGAAACGATCAAGCTAATCTCGTCGCAGAGGTCGCGATTAACTGCTGATGCGCGTTTGAGTCCCGTAAATATCGCCCACCGGACGCCCTTGAAATTGCCCATCCGCGCAAATGAACGCGTAATGAATTTTATCGCAGCGGGGTCGAAGGGGGCAAAGGCCGCATATTTGGATTTGTTGATTGTCCGGAACATATCTAGTACTGCGGCATTGTTGCCGATATCGAGGAGTCGGGCAGCGACAGTGGACGCAGCATGATGCTTAACAGGCATTAACTTCTGTTGTCGGATGTTGTAAAAATTGAAAACCGCCATCTTCACCGCTTCAATCTCATCCATTTCACTCGTTTGCATTATTGCTTGGAAGAATTGTGACGGAACTGGTTTTCCCGGTGCCTTGAGAGCATCGAATTTCTCCAGTATAGCCTTCGCATCCCGAGTATCGCCATGGAGCAAAATGCTAGCAGTGACTGCCAAATCTAAGTGAAAATGTTTCATGACCATCCCAGACATGCTGGCGTCTCGAAAGGATGTTAAGGACAACTCAGGTTTTCCCGCATTTATGAAATACATCATCTGACTATGAAGTGGCATAAACTGCCTGATATGCCTTGAAGTCTCTGGCAGGGACATCGCTCGTCGCCACATAGCTTCGGTTTCTTGAGAAATTGGTTTATTCTCCACATCATTGATGGGAAAAGAAATTGTATCATATCCCAGCACTTGGCGTGAAGCGGCAACGTAACGGAACTTCTGCTCGGAAGCACGGAACATTCGCCATAACCCGGTCGGGCTGTATCTGGCAGACATCCGAGCTTCCTGAAGGAGTTCCATGAAATATGGTCGCTCGAGCTGGAGTTTCCAGCCTTTTTCCTTCACGATCTGCAAAAGCTCTTCTACCATTTCCACAGTTCCCTTCTGAATAAATGCTTTCAGTGTTTGATCGAAGAGTAGCTTATCAAGCACTAACCCATTATCAATTGCATCGAAAACGAAGTTGCGAATCATATGACCGGGATTTGCGATCCAGAATTCAAGGAAAACACGATGAAAAATCTGCGTGAATCTGAATTGATCCTTGGTGGAAAGTTCAAGCTCATACATATGCGCCAAAGTGTCTTTTACTCCATCCCAGTCACATTTCACAGCTTTCCCGTAAGCAACAAGCCCCAACGTCCGTGTCTTGAAGGGGATATTATAGATGTCTCTCATAGTCTTGACAAGCAAATCAGCCTTGCCATCCATTCCGAATTCGACGTACGCCACTAGCAAAGGATCAAAGAGCTTTTCGGTTGGAGGAATTTTACAAGCGGTCAAGGTGTCCAGCAACTTCCGGAATTGCGATTCCAGGAGGACGATACTTCGAGTCCTGCTCCAGAGTCCGCCCAGATATATGCCGCAGACACCACAGTCCACATCATTTCCCAAGTACTTGAATAACACGCCCTTGGCCTCAGACAGTCGGTAGGAACTTATAAGAGACTTGAGTACCACCCTCAGTAGAACCGGATTAAGTTCGAACTCTTTTGCGTATTTCAAGTACAGTGTGGATAAAGTTTCGAAACGTCCATTTTTCCATAAAGCTAGCATCATTATCTCCCACAGTGCCGGAGTTACCTTGTGGTTTGCCTCAAACCAGTAGAAGAGCTTTTGTGCAAGGTTGAGCCTGTTCCGATGCAAACTTATGTACAGAAGATGAATAGCGATGTCATTCCTGGCTTCCTCATCTGCTTTGACACCTCTATTCACGTCACGTAGGAACCTCAATGTAGCTTCGTCCAGCATGTGGTGATCCAGAAGCCTTTGAACGGAGAGTGCAGGGTCACTTGCTGGGAGGTTTTGATACTTCTCTCGAAAAGCTGGAGAGACACTTACGGTGTAGGCTGGTTCTGAACAGAATTCCTTATCACCCCTCAGTTTTGATTTGTATTTGTTCAAAAGGAATAATGGTTGAGGAGGTTCTTGAGTATTGGCCTGAGGTGCCCCGGTTTCCAACAGCTGAAGTGATGGAGTCAATGTATTACGTAAAGGTTGACCGGGAGCATCGGGAGATCCGTTGGGAATGCCAAATTCACCTTCCCTCCCTCTCGCTACCTGGGGCTCCATAGCATACATATTTGCGCGATCAATCTTCACATCCTCGTGGCCGGCTGTTTGTTGTTTGTGCCGCTCGCTACGTTTCTTAAAAGAAGCTAGCCCAAGGAACTCTCCTGCTTCCGCAGCCTCCATCATGTGAGCCACCGTCGCAGCCCCTGCCCCCGCAGTGTAATTTGGGCATGATGTTTGGAGACTTCGCTTGGTTTCAACGATGCGTTCAACAACCTGGACTCTGCGGTGGATGTCATAGGCGATAGTTCCAATAGTACAGAGACCCCCAATGGCACCAATGGTTGACCCAGCCAATGCTAGTTGCCGGAGAACACGTAGTGCATTCCGCGACGGGACCGCAGTTCGAGCGGATTGGCTGGGAAACATTGTGAGCAAGGCGCGGATAATGGGGGGTCATGAACTCGCTCAGGGAGATGGCCCATCAAGTGAAATCCATAGAAGGGATTCTGGGCCGGACACGAAGACGGGAGATTGTATTCTGTAGAGGAGATTACATCCGGAAACTTCTGAAGTAAAAGGTGTGCCGACATGGATGAAAGGAGGCCGGCGTGTTGTAAAGCTGTTAATGGTTCCGGTGGTTTTTTTTTTTTTTAGTGGTACGATGAATTAGTCTGGTGTTGGATGTTTCTTGGCATATTCACGTGATGGTGTAAAATTATGTTCTTCAAAAAGACAACTAGTAATAAATATCTCACATGATATCGATTCATCCTTCCAAAATCGTCCAGACATAACAGAAGAAATCTTTATATAGAGATGACGGCCTCCATGAGGTATGTACATGTATGTACAATGTATAACGTGATGACCTACAATAGAAATAGAAGAAAGGATGTGTTAAGTACACTAGAATTGTTTTCAAATAATAGCAAAATGCTGCAAACAGAAAACGAAACCAGGGACCCAAAAATGCCTTGAAAATTGGTTCACATGGAGGTCAAGATGAGAAAATGGAAGGTGTCAACCAAATGTTCTAAGCTGAGGACTAGACCTGCGATGTATCGAAAGTCTTTTTATCTTGGCCCATCTGTTCTCCGACGTGAAACATAAATACCCTGTGCTAATTTTCTTCAACTGTCTCGGAACCGTCGTAGTGCGTGTCGGCCTCGTCGTCCATATATACTTTGTTTAAGAAAAAAAAAAGGAAAAGAAACGTCAATAAACAGACATTGGAATAGGAGAAAGGGGTTGGATATGTGGTATAGCATACCATGAGGTTTAATGAAATACGACCCGACGAGAGCTAAAAGCATGGTTGCAGAGAGGCACACAAACACTGCCTGCGGAAGATTACCAACAGTCGAACTATATATCTGATTGAAAACCGTTGGCGCCACCACACGAGCAAGCGCATGGAGCAAACCTATCGCTCCGAGAAGCTGGCCGGTGCGATTGGCCGGAATGTGCTTTGTCAACGAAGACGTGAGCGTTGGGGAAGCCATTGCGCCCATAGCTGCAGTTGCGCCTGAGAAAACCAGGAGCTCCCCATTCCACGCGACGCAATACCCAACGCATCCAAGCAAGTCGAAGAGTGTGGAGAGTCGAATTAGGACTATGTCTAGCATATCAGAGCCTGTATTGAGCTGCTTCCGTTGGCTCTGTGGGCCACGGACAAAGCGAGTTATTGTCGGGAGAATCACTAGCAGCATGACAACCCTGACAGAGCTGACTATAGACACGAAGATGCTCGACTCGAAGTTTCCCCAATTGAACATGTACTCAGAGTATATCACGATGATCGACATAGTTCCCATTCCGACACCGAAGATCGCAGCGTCAACGGATGCAAGAAGAATCAGGTTCGCCTGTAGATCTCGCAGGGCGTTCCTAGAGCGTGACTTCGCGGAACTGGGAAATAGGATGGAGAGGGGCCTTAGAAGATTCAACGGGTTAAAATCCGCCAACAACCAGTGAGAAACCTTAGGGAAGTTGAAGAATCGTATCCCGAGATGCTCGCGATTGTGGTGCTGGCGGTCCTCAGACAGTGACTCTGGTACGACAAATAGCATGAAAAGCACGAAAAACAGCAGACAGAATATGACTCCATAGAACACGACGAGAATATTCCCCGTCCATTTGATGAGGTACCCCGCAATCAGAGGTCCCAGAGCGATACCAGTAAATAGAACACCATGGAAATATCCAAAGGCGACGTTCCTGTTGTGTGTGGTAACGCAATCTGCCGCATACGATTGCGTTAGGGCTACGGCGGTTGTGATGGACCCAAACATTCCATCAAACACTGCTGCGAGAAGTAGAAAATTCACCGAGAGCCGGCCATCCTGGGATGCCACCACCAGCAGGACAATTTGAGCAAGCAAGGTTCCAAAAGCTGACAGGGCAATGATTCTGTTTCTTCCATAACCATCTGTTAGGATTCCAAGCCTTGGGCTTGCTATAGCTGCAAGAATGCCAATAATTAAGTTCAATTTCAGTTGAAATTTTGATACGAGGGCCTGGATTTCGGGGAGTCGACATTGGGGGTTATTATCTCCAAAAACAACCGGAAGATACGTAAACGTAGGATCCTGTACGGCTCTACCGGAGAGATACTCGCGGCAAATAAGGGTCAAGGAGAGATTTATCTGCGGAACGACGATACCTCCAAAGGCAATTGTGAAGGGCAGAAGGGGTGGCAGGACCCAGAATATCTATATACCGATCTCCCAGGTGAACGGTTAGTTAAGCATTTGTTAAACAGATGGAGCGACAAAAAATAATGGAATAAATAAAACAAAATATATATATATATGTAGAGCGAGTCCTCACAGACGGTCGTTTCCACCATTGCTTCCAATCGTTTCCCTTCCACGGCGTCCGCTGAGTTCCATCGTCATCGTCCCAACTACCGTCCTCTCCTAACAATGTTGTGAGATCACTGTTCTCCAACAACGTGGTGTTCTCTGTCGGTATTGCTGGATTCCCAACCTCTGAGTTGGATCCTGAGCGCTGCCGGCTTGGAGGAGAAGTATTAGCAGTTACCCATCGGATGTTTTCATCTCCCTTAACTGTCAGAACATTCCTCGCCTCCATTTTGACGGATCACTTTACATTAAGTTCAAACAAATGTCGAGCAAGTGTTTACGATTGGCTAAACAACCTAGAAAAGATTAATAACTAACTCATAGGACTATCAATGACTTCCGAGAGGAAGCAATACTGGCATGTCACGCATGTCATAGGGTGTATCGATCACTAACCTGTAGGATCCCAACGAGCTATTGGTGTTGGTTCTAATAATTCTCCGCTCTAATTATGAAACTCCTTGCGACGCCCAACGTCACTCTATATTTCAAGGCTATTATCATTAACTACCCAGCATCTGTGCTAAGCCTGAACAGTTTAACTACGAGTTTGTAGTTTTTTAACTGGATGAGACGAGAAAAGAGGTTTTCGAATACGCTGTTGGCCCAAACCGAACCATCGAGACCAGCCGAGGCATGAAGATGCATAAAACTAATAACGTTCTGTTCTTAACGACCAACTGACGTAGTTTAGATGGATTTAAATTTTTGACCGCTCATTAAACCAAGTTAGGCATTTATACCTGGCTACCAGACATAACCAGGAGACTGGGTTATTTTCTGTAACGTACGGAGTAAATTATGAACCAAGGTCAAATGAGGAGGGCTGCTTACATTTCAATACGCTGTTACAAAGTCAAGATTTTGCGGGTCCATTTCTGTTCAAAATTGTTAGTCGAAATTATACATCAACTTGATCTATCTAGTCCAAATCTTGAGCAGGCACAGAGGAAAATCATAACTCTTCAGAACATCACCTCTGCTTGAATATTTCGAATGCAAGACCCCATATGCTTCACATCATTGTCAGAGATAAAGGGCAGGGTTCATTTCCAAGAGTTAAAATTGCAACAAAACTAGTCCTTCCGGAAACGTGTAGGCAATTAGCTGGGCTAAATGTGTCGGTGGATAGAGGAAGAAAGGGCTGATACACGTAGTCAACATTTGCAAAGTGAAAAGAAGAAAGTCTTCGTTTGAACATAAATTTATGCAAAGCGTGGTATTTTGTTAATATATATTCATTTCAAAAACGAAATCTAATACAAGACGAGAAAACTCGCACATCCAGCAAACCAATTCCATCTAAATGTTTATATACCGCATGCGACTGCCTTTCGATTTCAAACCCGAGAAAAATTTAAGAAACAGAGATTCACTCGCCTTGTCCTATCGAACGAGAGTGGCAAGTTCAGGCCCCGCGAAAAACTTCTTCTGTTCCAGACACCTTTCGCTCGTACAGCCCTGACATCGCAGCGTCATTTGGCGCGAGCAATTTTCCCCGCTGCGCAAATGAGCCGCTGCAATGTTGGCAAGTCCATTTATGAAAACAGGGCTCCCGTTCAAACTTTCGACCCGTTTGACGCCCTGACTGTTCGCTTCATGAATGACTTCTTGGTCAAGCTCGTAGAGCGTCTCGATGTGGTCAGTAGTGAATGCGATCGGGACGAGGAGGAGGTCCGTTTGGCCCTTTTTAACGTAGTTTTGGACTGTGTCGCTGGTCTGAGCTCCTAGCCAGGCTGAAGGCCCGACTTGTGATTGCCAGCAGAGGCGATAATGGTTTGAGAATTTTAATCTCTGCATGACTGCGTAGACTGTTGCAGCGACTTCGGCTGCATATGGATCACCTTAATCTCCATGTTAACATATTACTAGCTCCTGAGGTAGTGGCGTTAGTTTTAAGTGGAGCCATACCTCGATTAACGACGCTCATAGGCAAGCTATGAGCAGAGAAGAGGAGAACAACCTCGTTTCTCCGTTCTTTAGGATACGTCGCAAGTTTTTCTTCAATATTTTGGGCAAATGCCTCTATTAGGCCTGAATGCACTGGCCATCGATCAATGACACTCCATTGAATGGTTCCCTCGGGCTCCTGGCCTGCATTCGCACGTTTGCCCTCGAGTCGATTTCGCCACTTCCACAGCTCATTCAGTGAGCTGCCTGTCGTCGAACAGGAATATTGGGGGTATTGAGTAAATGCAACAGCACGCCCTCCCTTGCCTCTGCCGAATCCGTCGTTTAGCAGCCGCTCGTACATCTCCTCTGTTAATGGGGCAGCGTATCGGAACGCAACGTAGGGTTTATGTGGTGCAGTTTCCGGAGAAATCTTGTCCAGGATTTTGCACATCTCTTTGCACTGGTACTCAGACCACTTTCTAATCGGTGAACCTCCTCCGATGGCTGCGTATTGCTTTTCAATTTTGGGAGTTCGGCGACGCGAGATAAGGGGCCCCAGATATGATTGGAGTCGCCCTAGAGGTATTAGATCGGCATCTGCCTGAACGCGGAGTGAATAATTAGTAGGGGATTCGTAAACCATAAGCTGGATGTTCGTACAAATAATCTGCTCAAATAATCTCCAACATCTTTTGTTGTTGAAGGGCCTCCCATATTCAGAAACACCATCGCAGTGGGACCTTGAGAGCCCATCGAATCCTGTGTAACAGGGGCTACAGTTGTTGCCATCCCACATCGCTGATGTTCACCGTAGCTTGCGAGTGATTTTGACACTGTCTGCCTCCAACTATGCCCGCCCAATGCTTGCTTGGGGAGGGCGGCTGTGAGGAACGTTCGCAGCGACATCTCGCGGGCGCCACTGAACGGCAGTGGGCGCAGTAACTTCAGAATAGGAAGGGTGAGTTTTTGAATCTGGTAACTGAGTAAGCAGCAGTAAGCCAAATTCTCAAATAAATGATACGGGACTGTGTCAATGGTAGTTCGTCATTATTCGGAGTAGTTGGGCTGACGTCTGATCTTTGACTATTATGACATTCCAGCTCTCCGCAAACACCAAGGCTGCACCGGGCTCAGGTGGCCAAGTCTTCGTCCGCTCTAACCAATCAGAAGCTGCGTAGTGTAATACATCACGTGCTCTGACGTTTCTCCGCTTTTTTGGCGTTACGCGGAAACCGCGTCCCTTGGCGGCTATTTCGCTTCTGATGACAATCGATTTAGCCGCGCTTGATATCAGGCAGAAGCCAGCAGCCGCAGGGGTAACTTATATGTATATCAGGGTGCTTGAATACATTATCCTTACGTGATTTTGTAATATGCTCTCTAACAATTATTGAGAAAACTCGGCCCTTGATTCTGATAAAACTCAGTAATGGCTGACGAGGGGGCACCTTGGCAGCAGGATGATGGTTTCGAGGAGGAGGAAGATATTGATGAAACGGTAATTATATTTTGATAATTCTCATGGAGCGCGAACTCAATTGGCGTTTGTTAATACTAAGTATATCTTTCAAGGTTTATAAAACTGTCAAAGATGCTGTCCTTTTCGCCATTGAGATTAGCGAGTCCATGTTAACACCGCCACCCGATGGTGACTCCAAGAGAGCTGATAAAGAATCGCCCGCCACTGCTGCCCTTAAGTGCGCATATCATATGATGCAACAGCGCATAATATCAAACCCCAAGGACATGATTGGGATCCTGCTCTACGGTACTGAGAAATCCAAGTTCTACGATGAGGAAGAGAGTGGGCGGGGAAACCTGTCATACCCCCGATGCTATCTCTTTACGGACCTTGATGTACCAGCCGCAGAGGATGTGAAGAAACTCAGGGCATTAGTACATGATGAGGAAGAAGCAGATCAGATATTGGTACCTTCAAAGGAACGGGTGTCAATGTCCAATGTTTTATTCTGCGCGAACCAGATATTTAGCTCCAAAGCTCCCAATTTCTCCTCCAGACGGTTATTTATCGTAACGGACAACGATGACCCACACTCTAAAGATAGGGGTCTGAGGTCCGCTGCCACAGTTCGAGCGAAAGATTTATACGATCTTGGTGTCATCATCGAACTATTCCCAATATCCAGACCCAATCAGGAATTTGACAGATCGAAGTTCTTTGACGTATGTTATAATACATTCATCATGACCTACGTGGTTTGGGCTAACACTGGCATCAGGATATTATATACAAAGCCTCTCCGACAGATCCAGAAGCCCCTGCCTTTTCTACTCAAACTAAGTCCTCAACCTCTGGTGGCGATGGTATCTCACTCTTGAAGTCACTACTGTCTTCGATAAACTCCAAGTCGGTGCCTCGTAGAGCTCTATTTTCCAATGTACCGTTGGAAATAGGACCAGATTTCAAAATCTCAGTGACAGGTTATTTAATATTCAAACGTCAAGAACCTGCACGGAGTTGTTACGTGTGGCTGGGAGGAGAGGAGCCCCAAATCTGCAATGGAATCACTACACAGATGGCTGACGACTCTGCACGTGAAGTAGAAAAGTGGGAGATTCGGAAAGCATATAAATTTGGTGGGGAGCAGATCTCGTTCACTCTAGATGAACAGGCTTCGTTGCGAAATTTTGGAGACCCTACTATCCGAATAATCGGATTCAAGCCAATTTCATCACTCCCAATCTGGGCCTCTATGAAACACCCAACGTTCATATATCCGTCCGAGGAAGGATATGTTGGTTCCACCCGTGTCTTCTCCGCCCTCTATCAAACACTTTTGAAGAAGCGGAAACTAGCACTTGTATGGTTCGTGCCGCGTAAAAACGCCGCGCCAGTTATGGCCGCCATGATTCCTGGAAAGGCTAAGCTGAACGAGGATGGAGAGCAAATGATTCCGCAGGGCATGTGGATCTTGCCGCTACCTTTCGCGGACGATATCCGACAAAATCCAGAAACAAATCTCATCATCGCTCCGGATGAATTGGTCGATAAAATGCGAACTGTCATCCAATTTCTGCAGCTACCCAAGGCGCAGTATGACCCTCAAAAATACCCAAATCCTTGTAAGTGCGCAAACGACAACGTCATCCATCTTTTTAAAAACCACAGTGATTTTAAGAGCTAATTGTTTCTGGCTATTAAGCATTACAATGGCACTACCGCATCTTACAAGCACTGGCCCTTGATGAAGATCTCCCTGAAAAACCTGAAGACAAAACGATACCCAAATATCGTCAAATCGATAAGGTTTGTTTCCTCCTAAGATGTTTCGCTTTAAAACATTATACCTTTTTAACCCAACTTTCATTTCCCTGTTTTAGCGCGCCGGTGAGCATGTGATAGCCTGGGGAGAGGAATTAGAATCCCAATATCTAAAAATGGAAACGGAACAACCCTTCATCTCAACGCTCGTCAAGCGACCCACAAGCAAGTCTCAGGAACAAATCAAGGAGGAACCACGTCCAGCCAAAAAAGCGAAGACTGGTGCTGATGCTGTTGGCGCCGGCGACGAAGTGAGGATGCACTACGAAAAAGGGACCTTGAATAAAGTTAGTTTGGTCAGGTTCTTTTCCTGTGTTAATGTTCTCCGTACAACCCTTAACCTATCGGGCATTGCACGCGGTGAGTGCCGACAGACTATACGCAAGCTAACTGATACATGTCATGGAAAAATAAAACAGTTAACCGTTACTTTCCTGAAAGAATTCCTACAATCTCAAAATTTGTCTACGACGGGTAAGAAGGCAGATTTGATTGAAAGGGTTGAAGAACTTTTTGAACAGAAATGAAATTAATAATGGATCATTTTGTTTGTTATATTGGCCCTCACATATCCTCGCGCTTGAATATGCTAATGTTCATTTTGCTTAAACGGTTCTTTTGGGTTTCAAGATACCCGGGTTTATATTTTCCGTCTAGTGATTGAGCAAGCTCCTTCGACTTTGTTGTGCGGAACCTTTCCTTGGAAAATGAGTAAAATTAGGAGTTATCTCTTGTTGTGATTCATTGCTGCACTATTGATTGGTACCTTATCAATACCCATTGGTGCCTTTCGGAAAAGTAAAGGGATAGCCCAGCTGCCAACCATGGTACATATAAATGATCCTTTCGTTGGATCGATGCTCCAGTGTTGAGGCCAATATGGCTGATCAGTCGCAGCCTAAGGCCGTTAAAAGAAAGCTTCATATTCCCTCCAAAATGAATACTATACACGTGGTCATCCTATCTAGAATTCTGGCCATTTTGTCTGCTCGATCCATGGATACAAAAAGCAATCTGTGGAGCTCAATTGACGGTCCAATGAATCGCATCCGAGTTCTGATTTCTGTACTTCCAAATTATTCCAGGAAAATTATCCTTTGTGTTCACGTCCCCCCAAAACAATCAATGACTAATAGCTAATTATCAATGACGAGTTAACAGTGAGCAGGAAACTGTTTTATGAGGCAGAAGTCTTGTTTGCCTTTGTCTCCCGTGCATTCTACAGTGAGGATAAATCGAAGCAGTTTTATCCCTGCGTTGCCGATATCACCAAGATAACCGGGCGAGGAGATCGTATAATAGAACACTCCCTTGGTTTGACAATCAAAATTTTAACCCTGTTGCTATTTTGGCTCCAACAACAGCTGAATGCACGCAGTCGCATCCATCTCGTTTACCCTAACTCACTTCCGCAACCCCCGAGTTTTTATCATCGCATCATGTTCTGGGCTCTCGCGTTCTCAATCTTCCTCGGTTCATAGAACAAGGTCTAGTTTGACATGGGAATCCTCCGCCAGTTTGGCGGGTGGATCGAAGTGGATTCTATTCCAGTTGGCGGCTGCACCCATCTCACGTATACGGGCATGCGGGACCAATTCAGTTGTGCCTGTGGGAAACGGGCGTTACTGTAAAATTAATCAGGGATTCCGCTCAGAGATCAACAGGAGTAAACACCAAATCTCCGAATACATCCATCAGGACTCTTGGGAAGAAGTTCTAAAAATCATTAGTAATTATAAAAACCTACCCGTCAATCCTGGTTCGCCTTGATTTTACCCCAGGTCCAAACCAGAAGTAAAATCAACCATCCTGAAGAATTCAAATACCGCAATGCGACTCTTCAATGTCGCCCTACGTCCAAACACTTCGACCTGACCAAACCATCTTACGACCTCTTCCGCGGCCAAAACTTGCGCGAAAACTGCGTTCAGCAAAGCTTTGCCTTCGACAATATCAACAGACGCCTGCTCGTTGCGCAGCTGCGCGACAGCACTGGGGACGCAGGTCACTTCTGCATTAGCACAGCTCGATATCTCCAGAAAGTATATCGGCCACATACACCTGAATGAGTTCAACCATAACATCTCCTTCAGTGCACAGAAAGTAAATTTTGACACCTATCTGTGAACTAAAGTCAAGACCAATAACAAGGGTACGGCAAGAAGCTTGCACACTTTAAGTTGGAAAAGGGGCCAACGTTATCCAGCACTTCATCAACATTGAGAAAATTCCACACCAGTCAAGGGCAAGGGCGCGACGGAGCATACCGTCTCCATTGACTCGGTACAGAATAGGTTGATCGTCCGCTACAACAAAAGCGGCAAGCATATCGCCGTCTTCGACTTGAAGGCCGCCACCAGGGGTGATTTCTCTAAGCCCTTTAACCAACTTCAAGCAACCCTCGTTGGACAAGTTCAAATCCAAAGTGTTCCCGGGGTATGCAGCGTATGGGTCCTATCTGCATATTATGACTGTCACATCTTATGATGAAAGTGGTGGGAAGGTGAATTCCGAAGTTGCATACGTTGATATGAATACAGGAAAGATGGTAAGGGTCCTACACTGACGAAGGCCAGCAGAGCCTTTCGTATAGAGAGCCAGAGGGGATGGCATATATAAAACGAAAGTTGGTCAGGTGAGCCTGTTCTTTGGCTTCGCGACGGGCAAAAGTGGCAATCGGAGATCAAGTCTATTTTATAAAAATGCATTGGTTTGAGAGGATGGGTGGGTATTTCAATATTTGTTAGGTTTTACGTGTATCTTCTACAGACTGCCTTATATTTTTCCAGGTTGACAGAACAAGTTGATAATTAGAAGTGTGGTTATATAATAGAAAGTTCTCATTATCACGATTATACATACAGAGTTTCTTTCTTTTCTTTTTTTTAAATGAAAATGAAAGAAGTTCTAGCTCTTTGGCGGCTTCAGGGGCTAGTTAATTTAGATTGCAGCTCCCGTGACCCGGTGGCTGCTAAAGGTGTCAAATATGAGATATGAGGACATTCGCTTAAGCCCCCAGCTCGAAAAGTCGGCAGTTCACACAATCTCGGCGCCCCGGGCGTTGAAAAAGAGTGAGAGAGAAGAAAGGGAAAGGGAAGTATTGTAAAGAGAAAAGTCCACCTGTATCTACGAACATATCTGGTCTCTCTGGCCTGTGGACCTGGAAGAAGAAAAGTACGAGCCAAGATGGAACAAACACACGAATACTCAGTCGCATTCAGATGGTATAGATGACAAGCTGGGGGAGGGGCAACGTCACGAAGAATTAAAGATCTCACAATAATCTTACATTAATAAGTTCAAACGGTTGGTATTGGAAGCGTACATACATCCATCCATCCCATCATAACTAGGTAAAAAGACAAGGGTAATTAGACCTAAAATTAAAGCAGCCCCAGGCATCAAAAAGATCAAATTTCGTATCCTTCTTTTATCCCTTTTATACAAATCGGGTAAAGCAAACAATGTGCAGAAATACCGTATAAATAAAAAAGGTGAAACAAAATCCAAACCGAAGCATTTGTTCTTGGTAGAATAAATCACGTAAGTTGTAGGTGAACCGTCTGCTACTCGCGATATGGCGGTGGCGGAGTGAGCGCATGCTGATGCTGCTGCTGATAATATGAGTGGCGATGCTGTGGCAGAGGGGGTGGTTGTGGTTGGTGAAGCTGGTTTTGAAGCTGGTGTTGGTGCTGGTGCTGGTATTGTGAGCCCGGAGGGGGTGGAGGTGGAAGAGGCGGAAGAGGAGGCGGCAGATGCCCGTACGTTGCTGGGTGATAAACTGGGGGTAATGTCATGTGCCCGACAGGTCCATGCATGTACTGAGGTAGATGTGGCGGCGGCGCATGAGTTGGCGGGTGAAGGGGAGAGGGAGGAGGAGGGTGAAGAGGATAAGAGCCTGGATGATATACCATGGCCTGTGGCGCGGGGAGGTGCGGTGGTGCGGAGGAGAATGGGTCAGGGAGTTCGTGCAGGTGTGGGATGGAAGGGTATCGACTGGAGGCTGGGAGAAGGCGGCGGGGTATGCTAGGTGGTCCTCGTTGGGGGGGAGGAGGGGGTGGTTGGTGGTGGGATGGCGGTGGGAGAAATGACCGTGGGTCTGTTGGGGGTATCATTTGACCAAGAACTGGCTGGGGGAGAATTGTTCGATGGAAGCCCCGAGGAGGTTGTTCGATTGGTAGTTGTTTTTCGTATGGGTTTAGAAGATGGGGTGGGTGATGTGGTAGTGCTGGAAGCTGCTGCGTGATGCTGGGAAGGCTGCGGAAGGGTGCGAGTTGCAAACCTTGAGGAGGGGGCTCATGCATGGTAGGCTGTTCTACAGGCTTTTGGCCAACGTCGCCCACCGCGATGTCGGCTAATGCACTCAATGCGGTAGGTGGTTCGTTGGGGATTGTCGTCACCGGCTTGCCTTCATCCCCGCGACGCTCTTCCTGCTGGCAAAGCTCAGTTAATGCCTCCGTAAGCTGCAAAATTTTGTCGCTGGCGGGAACTGGTGCTCGGGATTCCTGGTCTATCTCTTTTATTTGAGGAGATATGTCTGTCTCAATTTTCGCGCGCTGTATGAAGTCATCCCAACCATATGCGGCTCGTTCGTAGAGAGCAGCACCTTTTGGATCCCTGACGAAAGAACTGTTGAATCCACGGACAAAAAGTCGACGGGGTGGCATTTCGGGCTCCGGGCCGGATTCATCAGCCTGGAGTTCCTTCGTCAGTATTTCGGATTGCTAAACTTAGAAACCTTGCTGCCAAATTTCTTTCGCTCACCTCAGTGTGGTCGTCATCCTCTGCTTGACGACACTGTTCCACAAAAGCCATATAGCTCCCTTGAGCCGCAAGGAGATGTTCCTCTCTAATATGTCGAGACTTATCCTGTTGAAAAGTTAGACATTACAATTGTCCTGCAAAAAAGAGAGGGGATACTGGGCAAGGTATCTTACATGGAAACTCGCATTTACCCGTTCTTTATTCGCCTCGAACAGGGCATCCGCGGTTTTTGTTCGCCAATTATATTCATTTTCAATGACCTCCAATCTCTTCTGTAACATGGCTTTAAGGTCATTCATGACTTGATCATATTCCGGCACAGCCATATGCGCTTTAGCATCCTTTATAAGTTTAGCCTCTGAGCGATTAGCGATTACCGTGAGCGCTGTTCGTTGAGCAGATGCAACTCGACGGAACACTCTATCAAGTTCCTTTTGTCTCTCGCGGAGCTGCTGATACTGGGCTAGGCGACAACGACATGTCGCGATCGATTGGCTGAAGACGTCCGCCACGACCTCCTCTTCCAGAACCTCGACCACGGCCACCCCTTCCACGACCTCGGGTCCAGCCTCCTCCTCGACCCCTTACCCTTCCTCTGAAGCCACCGCGCCCACGACTTCTGCCCGCGCCGCTGGGAAGGTTGGTAGCAGGCAGCTCTGGGGTTTCAGATGGGGTCGGCGCCGGGGAGGCGGATGCCTCTGTCGGTGTGGTTTCATGTGCAGCTTGGAAAGGATTCAGCCACCATTGTCTGAGAGGGGAAGTCGGCATCGAGAATACTAAGATTCGGATCCTGTCTCGTAGGCTCAGGGCCAGAGTGGAGGGGGCCTCCATCACCATCATTCTCACCATGATTACTATTGCCACGATTGCCATTTCCGCCCAATGGCGGAGAATCTGTTCCAGAGCTAGGGTCCAGCTTTTCCACCTTCAACTTCTTCGTGCTTGGATTTGGGTTTTGGGTCTCATCAGATGTAGCGCCAATGCTAGCGGAAATTCGTTTCCTCGTAGCTACAGGACTCGACCTCTTACTCACAAGTCCGCTAGTAGCTGCTAGCGCTATCTCAGGAGTATTATCCCCACTTTCTGCATTCGCACCTACTGACTTGTTGAGCTTCGAAACAGTGTCAGCGCAAGTGTCTACTTCCGTCTTATATCCCGAACTCCGACGACGTCGAGAAGTGTCCGCCCATGTTGACTTAAACGAAGATAATTGGGAGTCAGAAGTTGGTTGCCTCGTATTCACGCTGGGAAATTTTGGGGAGGTCTCTTTATCGTTGACCTCCGTTTCATCGGAGCCAATATGGATCTCATGAGGCCCATTGAAATTTGGTTGCTGAATCCCCGGTTCATCAGCTTGCTCGGACACACAATCCATATGATGGAACTTGGAAAGAATCCTAGCAGACTGGCGAGTTGGGCGTGGTATATGCAACTCAGCAACGCTACTCTCCGAAGCGATATCTTCTTTTGCCTTCTTCACTCTTTTCGCCCGCGGTGTTTGCGGATCTAAGTGTGTTTGAACAGGGATGTCGAGATTACTACCATTAAGGGATTTTTGAACGGCCACTAAAGACATGGCCTTTCCCTCTTGCGCGTGACCGTGAGCTACCACGGCTTCCACCACGCAAGCGGCCGGTAGATGGAGAAAACGGAGAAGCTAGATGATTAGCAGTTAACAGGGGATATTCACTAGTGAGCTCCT